AAGAAGACAATAATATCCCACACAAACTCAATTCTTTATCTTATTTCCAGTTTCATGAAATGATTCCTAATCTTGGAATGAATATTCTTCTAAGTTAACCCACATAATAATGTATCTAAGACTAGTGTGTCTCCATTGACATGTATTTGAAAGAACATTTCTTTTGGTCAGAAAAATGCATCCTTGTCTTATATTAATTATTTTATTCATACTTTTGTGTCTACAAAAAATAAGATAACTTCTTTACACAGTGATTAAAAAACAGACCTCTCACATGTTTTATCATTACTCACATTGAGAATGAAATAAAAATGTCATTTTGTTAATGAGTATTATCTAAATCAATATAATACTATCTATAAGTCAATATATACCATCTCTGATCAAACCTCAGATCTTAAATTTGCAAGATACAGGATATTTTTCAAATTCTGTCTATTCCATTGTATCTTCTGTACCTAAAAGGCATATGAAAATTGTAAATAAGAGGAATATATACTTCCTGTTCAACATATTTTCAAATGCAATATATATTACATTATTTCATAATCCTAACCATATAGAATAGCTGACCCTATTGAAACAGCAGCACATCTTACATGTGAATACCTCGTGAGCATAATCTCATACAGCAGACAAATGCTCCAAAAAGGGAGAAAATCACTGGTAAATATCACAGTGTACACTATGTATCAATACAACCTTTGAGGTATGACTAAATCTATATCTTTTCCAGGAAACTTTCTCACTGACAACCTGCAAGTTCATTATGATTAATAACACCTTCAATGCACCTTCCTCTTCTTAACTTCATCATAAGGAAAAAACAAGTAGTTCTTTCCACACACACAACCCTAAATCAGACCAAGTGACTTCACCCAACCAGCCATAAACACAGACCCTAGGCCTCTGAGAAGGACTTGACCGATGTGAAGCGACTGATCATGTCATACGCCCACTTGGGCTGGTCATACGGGACCATGTGACCAGCGTCGCGGATCATCACCTGCACAAACCCAGGGATCTCTCGCACGTAGCCAGCCACTTCCTCATCCACGCGCCAGATGTACCGCTGGGAGCTCTTGAACTCCTCACTGCGTTTCCACTGAAGGGTCTTCAGGAAGTTCTCAGTCAGGGTGTAAGCTATGATGATGTCGAGCTGCCCATTGTATATTAACACATTGTAGTTGTCCATCAACTGTAGAAGTGAAGATCAGAGGTCTATTAAGCACTGTATATACCTTGAATGCAAATATCATCTTCAAGTTACCAGTATTCAATGTATTCAAAGCTTAACAACACCAGCAGTACTTCTTAAATCTAATGTTGAATGCAAACAGCAATAAAAAAAAATAATAATAATACATCAAACCCTCTTTTAAAATTCCCTCCTACCTCTTCAATCCACGGCTTCACGCTCTTCATGATGTCCTCCATAAGGTGAGTCTCGACCTCAGAGCCGTCATGGAAAGTCAGATTACCAACATGAATGGCCCTTCGCACGCCAGGCCGGTTGATGTACTGCTCCCAGTAACTCATGTCCTGCAGAAAAAGATACAACTTATGTGATCTAAAAGTTTATATTACTTGACAGAATAGTATTTTTAGCATCTATTTCAAAATATGAATTACAGAAAAACACATAAAAAGAGAGCAGGAAAACAACAGCTACAAAGGGAAAATAAATTATTAAGTTTCTGTACTTTCATAAAAATATTCTATTCCTTGTACCCTTCTCTGTCTACCAGCTTTGATTCTAACCTATACTACATTCACCTTACACTTCATAACGTCCCAAACCTTGCCTTCTGAAAAGCAATTTTGGCAAAAACACATCCTTAACTAAACAAACATAAAAAATAAACTAAAATCAAGATACAACTCTTCAGTAAAGAAAAATATGAACACCAAATTATGTACTTTAACGACTCCCACTAATCCTGTTCTCCACGTCATAAAGACCATACCTTAGGTTCCCCTTGTGCGAGGAAGTTGAAGTAGTTCGTAAGTCCTGTGACATTGGTGAAGTAGGACGGGCCTTCCGTTTTGTCCCCATTCAGAAGACTGTCGAACACCTGTTGGGAAAATGTCAAATTGATTCTTCAATGAAAACTGTTATAAGGTGCTGCATCTTTTTTTTTTTTTTTAGGTAGTACATAATAAGGGAATCTTAAAAAATTAAGTAAAGGAGGAAAAGGTGGAGGTGGTGATAGGTGATGGTGATGGTGATGGTGATGGTGATGGTGATGATGATGATGATGATGATGATGATGATGATGATGATGATGATGATGATGATGATGATGATGATGATGATGATGATCATGATCATGATGATGATGATGATGATCATGATGATGATGATGATGATGATGATGATGATGATGATGATGATGATGATCATGATGATGATGATAGTGATAATTCATTATTCATTTGTATCACAATCATTTTTTTCTTTTTTCTTTTTTTTTAAGAAAACCCCAAACACTGAAAAAATAATAACAAACAATAAAAAATTCAGTCACTTAAACTCCACAGTCGTCACTACCTCAAAGGCTTTGATCCACTCCTGCTGTTTGATGAAATCCACCGCCTTGGCACTCTCCTGCTTGAAGTAGATGAGGTCTAAGTCATCGATGAGGCCGATCTGGTATAGGAAGTCGCCATAGTCAACCATTGACACGGGGTCACACAGGCCATCGCCAATCGCCATACCTGGAAGAATCACACAGAGGTAAAAGGATGATGATAGTAATAAGTGATAGTGATAAGGATAGTGATAATGATAGTGACAGGGATGATGGTGATAATACCATAATAACAATAACATTAATAATAAAAATAACTGTACTAGAAATAAAAATGGTACTTCTTAAAAATCCTGGGCTGCTACTCGAGTAACTGTGAAGCTGTGTGGCTATAAACATAATTAAATCAAAACCGCAATCTTAAGAGTACTGACTGTTTACCTCTTGGGTTGGTATTAAGCTGGGGAATTTACTTTTGAACTTTACTACAACATATATATATATATATATATATATATATATATATATAGAGAGAGAGAGAGAGAGAGAGAGAGAGAGAGAGAGAGAGAGAGAGAGAGAGAGAGAGAGAGAGATGTAGATATATATACAGATATAGATGTAGATATATATACAGATATAGATGTAAATATATATACAGATATAGATGTAGATATATATACAGATATAGATGTAGATATATATACAGATATAGATGTAGATATATATACAGATATAGATGTAGATATATATACAGATATAGATGTAGATATATATATATAGAGAGAGAGAGAGAGATAGAGAGAGAGAGAGAGAGAGAGAGAGATGTAGATATATATACAGATATAGATGTAAATATATATACAGATATAGATGTAGATATATATACAGATATAGATGTAGATATATATACAGATATAGATGTAAATATATATACAGATATAGATGTAGATATATATACAGATATAGATGTAGATATATATACAGATATAGATGTAAATATATATACAGATATAGATGTAAATATATATACAGATATAGATGTAAATATATATACAGATATAGATGTAAATATATATACAGATATAGATGTAAATATATATACAGATATAGATGTAGATATATATACAGATATAGATGTAGATATATATACAGATATAGATGTAAATATATATACAGATATAGATGTAAATATATATACAGATATAGATGTAAATATATATACAGATATAGATGTAAATATATATACAGATATAGATGTAAATATATATACAGATATAGATGTAGATATATATACAGATATAGATGTAAATATATATACAGATATAGATGTAAATATATATACAGATATAGATGTAAATATATATACAGATATAGATGTAAATATATATACAGATATAGATGTAGATATATATATATAGAGAGAGAGAGAGATGTAGATATATATACAGATATAGATGTAGATATATATACAGATATAGATGTAGATATATATACAGATATAGATGTAGATATATATACAGATATAGATGTAAATATATATACAGATATAGATGTAGATATATATATATAGAGAGAGAGAGAGAAGAGAGAGAGAGAGTGAGAGAGTGAGAGAGTGAGAGAGGAGAGAGTGAGAGAGAGAGAGAGAGAGAGAGAGAGAGAGAGAGAGAGAGAGAGAGAGAGAGAGAGAGAGAGAGAGAGAGAGAGAGAGAAGAGAGAGAGAGAGAGAGAGAGAGAGAGAGAGAGAGAGAGAGTCAGTGGGTGGGTGAGTCAGTGGGTGGGTGAGTCAGTGAGTGGGTGAGTGAGTCAGTGAGTCAGTGGGTGGGTGGGTGAGTGAGTGAGTGAGTGAGTGAGTGAGTGAGTGAGTGAGTGAGTGAGTGAAAGTGAGTGAAAGTGAGTGAGTGAGTGAGTGAGTGAGTGAGTGAGAGGGAAAAA